TGAGTGAATAGCCGAATGCCACCGAGCGGCATGCGGCTCGGCTATTCTGCTCGGTACCTCTGTGGTACCGAGCAGAATAGTAAAACAGTTTAAAAAAGTAGAAAAAAATAGAAAACGATTAGTAGAGCCAGAGGTGATATGAAAGCCAACTCTGCTGAGTTCTCATGGCACTGACAGATCAGCGTCCCCTGGTTACCAAGTAACCAGGGGACACTGAACTGTCAGTACCATGAGAGCTCAGCAGAGTCGGCTTTCATATCACCTCCGGCTCTGCTAAACTCTCATTGTAATCATGGCAGATAGCAGAAATGATGGCAGATAGCAGAGGAAGCAGTAGCTTCTTTGCTATCTGCAAGTTTCTTTTTTTTAGTATTCTGACAGCTGCTGCCGTCAGAATGAAAAAAAAGTATAGGAATGCATAGCTAGATTCCTATTGGCTATTTCAATTTGCAATATCCAATAGTCAGCTGGCTATTGCACCCGCCCTCTGCTGCTGTCAATCACTAGCGAGGACCTGATGGAGAACTCCAGGTCCCCTCTGCTGATTGACAGCAGCAGTGGGCGGGTGCAATAGCTGTTTTGTTATTGGCTATTGCAAAGTGAAATAGTCAATAGGAATGTAGCTACAGTATGCATTCCTATGCTTTTTTTTTTTCTGACTGACGGTGGCCTGCGGCTCCGATGTCAGAAGAAAAATAATTAAAAAAGAGCAGGGAAAGGTTTACTCTACTCGATTGAGCAGAGTAAACATTTTTGGGAGAAAGTGTTTCTCTCCCGGGTGGCCGGGAGCCGCTATCTAATAGTGGGAGACTTCCGGAGCGTCCGGGAGAGTAATGCCAGATCAGCGTCCCTGGTTACCAGGTAACCAGGGACGCTGATCTGTCTCTGCAAGTGGCCGGAGCCAGCTCCGTTCGGCCAGCTTCACCTTTCACCTCAGCTCAGTCGAGGCGAGGCATATGCCTTCGGCTCGACTGAGCCACTCGGACAACTTCGGAAGCTGTACGGGCTATAGTGGATAGCCCGTACAGCAGCCCTTTGGTTCTACTGAACTGAAGGCACCCTGGGGTCTAAGCTAACCAAAGGATCAGCCAAAGCTACGGCTAGATCCTTCAGCAGCTTTGTGAATAACCCCCTATATGTTCATATTTGTTTTGTACAATATGAACAATCTGTGTTTTACAAATAAACATTTAGACCCCTAACAATGAACTTCTCTTATTTGGTCCCTTCTGGTCATTGACAGCATTTGTCATATCTGTTTGATACATGCTTTTGTACAAAATATGCATAAGAAAAAAAGGGACTTATACCCAGAGTGCCAAACCCAATTTTAATTAAACCCTAAAATAGGGTGAATTTATTGTCAAGTGACTCTCAAGACAACCCCCAACTGTTTAACAAGACAGAAAAACTTTTGACTCTCCGACCCTCATTAATACTGTACTTTGATTTGATCCTATCTTGATCATTTCACAATCTTTTTTCTGTTTTGTGCAAAATATACCTGTTGATCCTCCCAGAAATCCTTTTGAGCTGTAACAGCCAGCAGGGGCAAAGAGCTAAAAAGCAGAGAATTAAAAAGTTATCAATCAGCATTGTTTCCAGTTCTCTCTGAGGACCGCAGAACATGTTTCCCCTATAGTTACATAGTTACATAGTATTTGAGGTTGAATAAAGACATTAGTCCATCAAGTCCAACCTATAGGATCTAATTTTTAGGAGTACTTGTACCCCTGTATATTACTGTCCCTTAAAAAATCGTCCAAAAGTTTCTTGAACAATTCCACGTTTTTAGCTGAAATCACTGCCTGTGGCAGTGAGTTCCAGACCTTAACCGCTCTAACTGTGAAGAACCCCCTTCGCCCCTTGTGCTGGAATTTTTTTTCCATACTATGTTACTGAGAAGAGGAGGGGGTGGTGTTATGTAGTTCCAAAACACTTTCTGGCCTAGGGTAAGAATGCTGCTCCTCTGTAGATACAGTACAATGAGTAAGCATCACCCTAGTACAGGATGTGTCTTACTGACAGGGTGACAAGGTAAAAAAAAGGAAACAAAGCCTGAAAAAATGAATGCAGCAAAAACATAAGTAGACGGGGACATCACAGCTTACATCCATACACAATTATAAAATACACAGTGTACAACACAGAATTATATAAAATAAACCCTTCAAGTACATTATGGAAAATGTAGAATGAGTTGCAGCTGCCTGAGGGGGATGCAGCAGCCAAATCGGGATATCACAGGTGGAAACCCCATGTGTCCATTAAAAAGGGACAACATAGAGCAAAAGAAAAGTGGAGAGCAGGTAAAGCACAGAAAATACCACTAGGAAAAAGAGTGCAGATGGGGCATATGACGAGGGACCACAAATTTAGCATAATAAACACTAACCAAGACTCCACCAATTGGGGGAGTCTTTAGCTAATGTACCCTTAAAACTGATGATTCCATATATAAGAGCTTAGGGCCACATGTTACATTTTTGTTCTTGTGTTAGATACACTTGAATAACATCACACCATACACATCACCAATGATTCCCAGAGCAATATGGGTTAGCTAAAAGACTGCAGAGATGCTTTCCCTGAGGCATACTTTGTCTAACTTTAGGCTGATACATATGCTAATGGAGGATTCCCTGTGATGAAAAGTATGTGATGTAAATTAGTAATGAGCAATATAAATGTAGAAGGAAATAATGTTTACACACAATTACAAATACATTTCAGCTTGATAACTAACTGATTATAAATATATCCATGTGGATTGAGATCTGACCCATGTCATTGTGATTTATAGATACTGTGAAGTTGATTTACGAAAAGGCTAACACATGTTCACTTTTTTCACTTAAGTTAGTGAATATGGTGGAAATTCACTTTTGCAATGAATACCAAAATACATAGCAGGAAAAAAAAAACCCATGATGCTCCCTTTAAAAGTCAAAAAATGTGCATTTCCCTTGAACATGATTTAGTAAATCAACCCCAAAATGTCTTTTAAAACATAGCTGATGTGCTGTTTTAATTTGAAAATAGTTGGAGAAAATGTAGCAGACACCAGACTGCTCCTCATGTCATGTGCACACAGGAGCAGGTTGATATGCAATTAATTTGCATTGGAAGATATTTCCCTACCACCTGCCATGCTAACCTGTTAGATGGATCAATTGGTAGATCCATGTTGTAGATATTTAATCGAGATGACATGTAAGCTTTGCTCTGCTAAGGTTTCATTAATGAAGAAACGTCCTAGTGTGATGCACTGTGACTGCCAGATGAATATTTAATGGCAATCTTGGAAAATGGGAGATTGTGTGTTTTTTGTGATGATCTGTTATATCGGAGTACTGCTTTTGTTTTCTTTTTCTAAATGGCTAATCACTAGCTAACATCTATAGCCAACTTTAGTACTATCAACTAATCCCCAATGATTTCCCTATTTTTGCAAAGGATTTAAAGTGTACACAAACTCTAAGGGGTCCATTCATGAAGCTGCCAAAGGATCTAGCCGCAGCTTCGGCCGATCCTTTGGCTAGCTTCAGCCACAGGACCCCTTCGGTTCAGTAGAACCGAAGGGGTGCTGTACGGGCTATTCACTATAGCCCGTACAGCTCCCGAACGTGGCCAAGCGGCTCAGTCGAGCCGATTGCACATGCATCAGCTCGGCTGAGCCGTGCTCAAAGGCTGCCAAGGAGAGAAACACTGCTGTTTCTTTTTTTTATTTATTCTGGCACGAGCGATGTCAGAATAGAAAAAAAAAATGTTCCCATTGAAATGCATTGCTACATTACTATTGGCTATTTCAATTTAACTTTTGGACGATTTCTTAAGGGACCGTAATATACAGGGGTACAAGAAGTACTCCTAGGAACAAGATCCTATAGGTTGGACTTGATGGACTAATGTCTTTATTCAACCTCAAATACTATATGTAACTATATATGTAACAATTTGCAATAGCCAATGGTAAACTAGCATTGTACCCGCCCTCTGCTGCAGTTCTCCATCAGGTCCATCAGCAGAGGGCGGGTACAATGCTAGTTTACTATTGGCTATTGCAAATTGAAATAGCCAATAGTAATGTAGCAATGCATTTCAATGGGCAAATTTTTTTTCCTATTCTGACATCGCTCCGTGTCAGAATAAAGAAAAAAAAGACACAGCAGTGTTTCTCTCCTGGGTGGCTGGGAGCGGGAGGCTCCCAGAGCGCCCGGGATTTTTTTTTTTTTTACGGCAGCAGAGCCGCCGGACAATAGGAAACTATTGTACTGCCCTTGGCAGCTTAGTGAATAGACCCTTAAATTTATTTTTCAGTAATTTTGACTTAATGTCTAACTGTATACAGTTTTCTTTACAAAATAAAAACAATCTGAATCTGGTCCAAAGTTTCTTACCTGAAGCTTCTACCAGTAACATAATTTCCTGCTGCAGACATACAATGCTGAATCACTGCTTTGCAATTGGCAGATGCAATGTTATCCCACCGTATGAGCTCGTCCAGTTTGCAAGAATTGATAAGCAGCCCAACAGCCAACTGATGGAGCATACATGGTATGCTGGCAACCAAGGCTGCTGCTAATTGCAAGGCAGTGACTTAACAATATCAGCCTTCAACAAGAAGTGCTGTTACTTATGGGGTCTCCAGGTAAGAAATATTTGAATACATTCTCAAAAATATATGACTTAAAAGTAAAGCCCACCTTTTTAATAAAATAATAAATGTACATATCTTCATAAAAGAAAAAATGTGCATTTAATATTTTTTTTTACATTGGTGCAAGTAAAGTATTGCACCCATGATCAGTGGATTGTGCTCTGGCACCTGCTGAGTTTTTCTCCCATCCCTGTTCGTACTTCAGTATGGACATTCATTAGCAGGGAAGTCTGTTGACATCACCACAATTGTATTGCATTGAGAACTACAAGTCCCTCTGCACAGTGGCTGATGGAACTTGTAATTTCTCCATTCACAAATCCAGTCAAAGGATCTGTGAATGGATGATGTGGTTCCACGGGTAGAGCCATCCACATCAGTTACATTTTCAAATTTTAACAGCAGCCTGTGGGGAGTACACCGTGATATAGGTAGGTGGGGGGGAGGGGTTCGATGTGACTATGGTTCATGTTACACCATGCATATGGGTTGAGATACAATGAAAGAGGAAATCATCAAAGGGCCATATATTTTCCCCAGGTTCCTTCATATGTGGGAAGCTAAGCTTGAGTCCAGACAGGTTTTCAGAATGAGTTTGGGTCTGTGTGATCAAGTTCGGGTTTTGCATTTTGCAACCTTGCAATAAAGCTGACTGAAAGTCATATTTTAAACAATATTGCTGCCCGTGCTACTTTTTTCCAAGGGAAAGTGATCCCCATTTGAGCTAACATGAAACATGGTCTGCAAGGTAAACTTTTAACAGAAAATGTATATAGTGAGTCATAATGCCATACATCCTGAAACATTGATTTAGGGTTCACATACACTTTAATATACTGTATATATTCTATTTCTAAAAGCTGTATTAGAGTGTTTTATGTTAATATCCCATTCAAGAAATAGATAGATACAACCTACACAAAAGACTATTAAAAAAAAAATGTTCACCCTGATTGTTTTCCTTCCAGGGAAATGGGGAGTTTCACCCTTAGATACGTTGCTTATTATTCAGGTACATACAGAATGTTCCTCAATGTTAGCTAATAGCATTCATAACCAAAAACAATCTCCTTCATTTACACTGAACTGAGTCGAAACACGAGTCATTGCAATGGAAAGGTGCAAAGAGATTAAAGATATTTGAGAATAACATCCCAAACATTAGTAATGTGTCAGCCACTAAATTATATAAATTCATCTGCTGCTGGCTATACTTGCATAAGAATGCAATGCTGAAACTCCCAGATGTGGAGTGATTTATGAAATGCGTTGCTGGCTCACCTATTGTAAAGCACTTTTCACGTTATTTTATTGCAGCAGTTTTCACAACCATATCAGGATTAATGAATATTAACTAATCTTTATGTTTCTCTGTTTTTTTCCAGCTGATGGATGCACTGACTGGTCTGTTGATTACAAAAAATATCAGGTTCTGGTAGGTGAGCCCGTACGGATAAAATGTGCACTATTTTATGGATATATCAGAGCGAACTACACATTAGCACAGAGTGCTGGACTCAGCCTGATGTGGTATAAAAGTACTGGGCCCGGAGACTTTGAAGAGCCAATTGCTTTTGATGGAATAAGGATGAGCAAAGAAGAAGATGCTATTTGGTTTCGACCAACCGTGACAGAAGATAGCGGTCTTTATGCATGTGTCATAAGGTAAACATTGACATTACATGAAGTTTAATGATATTCAGCAAATTGCTATTAACTTTCACTTGGGTAACATTTTTTACAGTATCTTTTTAAGGTACTTTTTATCTTGGTTAAAAGTAAATTGCAGACAAATAAATTGAATTATATAAAGTAATAATGGTCATAGCATTTTACACATTTGAAATACGTTTCAAAATGAATATTTGAAGTGACCCTGTCACCTGGAAAATGTTTTTATAAAAAAAGAGTCTCTGCAAAAACACTAACTTCTTTGGTGGGTGCTGAAGAGCAACAGCCTCTGAGAGAATCTTCAAAGATTTCATCACTTCTGGGATTGGATGTCTGTATCTCCTGCCATGCTGTGGTTCCATGTTCCAGTAACTAGGTCACTACAGCAGAAAGTAGTAATGTACTGGTCACCATAAAACCATATTTTACAGGGGGGAACCAGGCATCCTGCACACCTAAAAGTGATAGATGTGAGCATTCTCTCAGAGAATAGTATGTAGGAGTAGCTCTTAAGCGCAGCAATGTTTAGAGTCATTGCTCACTAGAAAGGTAGGTATGAACAGGCATCTTTTGCATGGGTCCTTTTTTATTAAAAATAATCCTGGCAACAGAATTACTTTTAAAAGAATGAGGAAGATCTTGAACCTCTGTCAGGATTTTAGTCAGTCAGTAGAGTTATATCTTCTCCCTTCCATGCAGGCTACATGTGTCTGACAGAAAAGAAAGTAAGGTGAAATCTCTCCAATGAAAACATACCATTTTAAACTTGACTGGGGTTCTAACTCATACTCATTCTATCCAAAGCTCCAAGATCCAAAGCTCCAAAAAAATCCAACAAAGGTTTTGGCTAAGGTTGAAGTGTAGTTCAAAGTAGTATATAT